TAAAAACTCAAGGTACGTTGCTCCGATTTAATTACCTTCGATAAATTAGGGTTCGATGATTCGATTTCTTACAATTGCAGCCCATACATGTACCTTTTGCGAGTATTGTGTATGATGCTCAAGCATTCAGTGGTGGTTTTCTTTTGCCCAGTATCTACAATTCTGACGGTTAACCTCACCGTTTAACGTGAAAGTGGCCTCATCAGAAAAAATAAAGTTTTTTACCAAGAGAGTGTCTCGGCGGCAGTTATCCATCATTGCTTCGCAAAATTGTATTCTTCGATCAGGATCATCTTCGTTTAATTCCTGCACAAGTTTGATTTTATAAGGATGCCATTTTTCAAGCTTTAATGGTTTGTGTACCGTTGTTTTGCTAAATATTTATTGTCTAGCGGACAGAATAAGAAAGAAATTATTTCTTATCAATTTAAAAGAAACATAGTAGGCTATGTTTTTGTTAAATGTCATTATTTGTTTAGTAATTTATTAATGTTCAGTGATAGTTTAGTACTACAATATTTTTGGTATTTGTGAATGTTTCAGTTATTGCTTAGATTTAATTTAAAGTAGAAATGGAGTTAAGTGTAAAGCAAAGAATTGAAATACTTATGATGATTCGGTATGGAGACAGATTGTGAACTCAGATGGAAGTGTGCAATTTATTTAACGATAAATATCCAGAAAGATCTTTTACGCGTTCAACAGTCAGTAAGATTGAACAGAAATTTCGAGAAACAAGTACGGTAGAAAATGCACGGAAATCAGGTCGTTCGCAAATGATGATACAACATAAAAGGTTTTACTTAGTTTTAAAGAAGATGCGCACACTTATGTGCGTAAAGTTTTATTTTACAAACTATTAAAGCTTGAAAAATAGTATCCTTAAATCAAACTTGTGCAGGAATTAAACGAAGATGATGCCGATACAAGAATGCAATTTTACAAAGCAATGATGGATAACTGCCACCAAGACCATCTCTTGCTACAAAACATTATTTTTTCTGATGAGGCCACTTTCACGTTAAATGGTGAGGTTAACCATCAGAATTGTACAGACTGGTCAAAAGAAAACCCCCACTGGATGCGTGAGCATCATACACAATACTCGCAAAAGGGTAATGTATGGGCTGCAATTGTAAGAAAATGAATCATCGGAGCCTACTTTATCGAAGGTAATTTAAATAAGGCAACGTACCTTAAGTTTTTTAAGGGGATATCTCATACCTACTTATGCTGTAGATGTTAGAAGGTACCTAGATGAAATTTTTTCGAACAGGTGGATTGGTAGACGTGGACATATTGAATGACCAGCAAGGTCACCAGATTTCAATCCTATTTTATGTGGAGCATCTGAATAATGTTGTGTATCAAACGAAACCAGCAAATATTCAAGAATTACAACAGAGAATTAGGACAGCAATAAACAATATTTCTCAAGATACAATAAACAAGGTTCAACAAGAATTTATACAACGTTTGGGTTACTGTCAAATACAGCAAGGGCTGCAGTTCGAACATTTATAAAGTCATGTATTTCATCATATTCTGTCCGCTAGACAATAAGCATTTTTGATAATATTGTGAATTTAACTAACGCGTTACTTTATGAACACACACAAAACAGAAAGAACAGCAATTACATCCTTATCATTACAGACAAGTCCAAGAGCTCTTGCCAGATGATGTACAGGTTAGAGTGGATTTTTGTGAAACATTGCAACAAAGAACAGCACACAATCCAAATTTTTTTATCTTTTAACGGACGAGGCCACCTTTACGCGACAAGGTATGTTTAACTCCCGTTATGCACACTACTGGTGTGATGAGAATCCACGAGTCAAAAGGGTATCACATTACCAACACTCATTTAAAGTTAATGTTTGGTCAGCAACTTTAGGTAACAAATGGATGGAGCTCCACTACACTTTGATAGAAGGTGTCGTAATTGGTTGAGTAATCATTTTCCGAATCGATGGATTGATAGAGAAGCTCCGGTGCAGAAGCTCCAATTCATTGGCCTCCTCGGTCACGCGATTTTAACCCTTTGGACTACGCAGTTTGGTCGTATATTAAGGAAAACGTCTATGCTACAGAGGTAAATTGACGCCAAGAATTGAAAGAAAGAATTCAACGTCAATTTAATGACATGATAATGAAAAAAATAGACTTACGTATTCGCGAAAATGGAAGGCATTTTGAACACTTCCTGTAATTGAATTTTATTTTATGTTCTTAGTCATTAGTTTAATTTTCTTCTTGTGAGTTGTGTTTAATTACTAACTATTTTATACCAGCATCAATTATTACTTCATAATTTTCAAATCAAAATATTCCGAAAACGGTACACAGTATCGAGTTTTACCAAAAGTACCTCTTTGGTGTAACATTGAATGATGTATAAGTTTACTTGAAATTTTGATTAATAATTATTATACTCTTAAAAAAGTTATATTGACTAATACTTAGTACGATCCGTGTAACTAGCGCGTTTATGAAAATCAGATATAAAAACAAATTCATGGAATGTATCAGCAGAGAACTACGAACGCAGAGAAGCGACACTCCTTTGATCTTGCGTGGGCAAGCCGCCAACAAGTGAAAATGACAGAAAAGTACCTTATTTACTAATAGTCAGTGGGCATATTACACAATATAAATTCTTAAATAAAATTGAGCATTTATGTTGACTTTCAATAAATATGAAATATTGCACTGAAAAAATAATTACATGCAGGGCCGGCTTTTGTTGACATTCTAAATGGTGTAATTATGTTTGATTTACAAAAGGTTGCAAATACATCGCACAACGTAATGGTGAAAATCGTATTGATGGAACCATAGATGAAAATACTTTTTTATTTATTCTGATGTTGACATTGATAATACAATAATACACCGATTCTTTTTGGCTTGTGTTAATACAAGATATAATTTGTTCGTCGTGGAATTTCCTAATAAATTATCTTTCGTAATATAATCGAAAAATAACAAAGCCATTGTAACTGCCACGGAAATTTCACAAACTCTAAAAATTCCAATTCTCTTTGGGTGAGACTGAGAAACAAGAAACTTTATATTGATATCGATTGTTAATGTCTTGGAAACCTATTAAAATTACATTTTTCCTTTAAAGTCGAATATTGGAGTAAACGATATTCGACTAAAACGAATAAAAAATCAAGAAGTAACTATTGTACGAGTATATTTCTATAAATATAAAAATGTTATAACCTAAAAAATAATCAAAAAAGTATTACGAATCATTACAAGAGAGCATTAGGAAGATAAAACGAATTTATATTATTGTCATTACACATGATTCGGCACCAATCTTTTTCTTTTATTGTTTTTGACAAAAAGATTATCTTCAAAATGTAGTTCACAAATCCTATAACTAGTAAGTATATCCATTTTTAACAATAAATCTTCTCGTCTACAAGCTTCTATCCACCTTTTGGCACTACAAATTTTCAACAGAACAAATTTTAAACAAAGAACTTTTTGTATTTATAAATAATACTTCATTATTTACAGTTTTCTCCGTGTGTACTCCGATCCATATATTTGATCTTTGTTATTTATATTTAACGAATTAAACATTGACAGACAACTTTTGTATATAGCAAAAAGTAGATGAGCATTTAGTTTTTTCATAATTTAATGTAAGTTTGTTTGTTGAAAAAGACAGCAAATATTTGAAGTTATGTTAATGTTAGTTTGTTTATTTGCAATCATGTTTTTATTTTGAAGTCTTGTTCTGTTGTAATTTTAAGATTTTCCCAATTTTCGATCTAATTATGTTTCCAACAATTTTTAGTTTGAGCATGTTAGGAATTTCTTTGTTTCGTTTAAATCAAATATTCTCGTGTATAAAACCTTCTATATATTTTTATTTCCTAAAAATACTATATTCGTATTATTGTGTGCGAGCGCTTTCACACCAATAGGCCAACATCTGTGTTGATTTTTTGACCTGAGCCTTCGGAGACAATAAATTTAATGTATGTTTGTAGTTCTCTGGTTTTTATTCTGAACTATCCCTTGGCAAACCAAAATTTATTTTTTATTTATACTCAAAGTCAAATTAATACTATTATGTAATAACTAATAATAATTACAAAGCAATAGTAATTACCTATTATTATTCTTAGGAAATCTAAATAAACTTATTCCTTTTCCTGTTACAGATAAACATCCGCGAAACGCACAACAATAAAAAGAAGACATTTTAAATACTTATAAATTAAACTTTTAACTATAAACTATAACTATAAACTTATATATTTTAACTATAACTATAAACTACAACTATAAACTTTTAACTACTAAATAATTAGATAAATAGTCAAATGCACTTGTATAGTCGAGAGTTTACCACAGATGCCTACAGACTATCGTAAGCAACTTAAAGTTGAAGAAAACGCACGTGTTTTTGACAGTAAAGCACCTTATTTGGGTCATGCGTATACAGAAAAGAAACACGAATTTCGGGCCTCGTGTCGCTTCTCTGTGTTCGTAGTTCTCTGGTATCAGCTTCCAAAACATATTCGTATAAAATTTCATTACAATGTTGCCAGTAGTTTCGGCAAAATCGTAAAAAAATGCGTAAATTTTTTTCTTCAACGCCCTGTATCTTGAAAACGGATGGCGTTACAAAAATTTTTTACGAAGCAAACCCCAATTATTTTTCAGTTTTTTATCTACCCTAGAGACGGGGTTACATTCTTTTTTTTTAAACCCTGTATGCGGTTATACCACTTCTCGCCTAAGCAGCTTAATTATAACGTTTATTACTTTAAAGATATAACTTAAGGGTCATCTGACCTCATTTTATGGCTATTTCCTATTACTTTGTAAATGTTTTTTACTGATGATGATCCAATACGATTGAAATTGTTCTTAAAATTTATAAATCCAATTTCTATATTTTTTCTTTACAGTAAATTTAAAGAAAATTTTAAGAAATGTAACGTTTATTTATGAACTTTATTTTTGTTTAGAGTTACAACTATAAAAGAAAAATTTACAATAACTGTTCAAACACGTGGACTATTCTCAGGCTTCCAGAGTGTGCTCAGAAATTTCTATAAAGGGGCATCAAATGTAGTTAATTCTTTATTACCTCGTAATAAAGACTTTTTCGATGTAAGTATAATGTTTATAAAAAAGGATCTCTTAATATATACTAAAAATAATGTGTTTTATAAATGCACAGAGAAGTATCTGTAATAATTCGTTAGTATCTTTATTTCATGTAAAGGGTTTGTCACTCAAAAATATACTAATATTTAAAGAGGTGACTTCCAAAAGGGCTTAACCCTCTTCTGCATAAATTATGTATTAGATAAATTTACAACAGAATTACAACAATTTAGAATTTACAATTTTCTACCAATTAATAAAATAAAAAATATGCCATATATGGCTTCCTATGCGATCAACCTAAAATGTACAAAATAGACAGGTCCAAATATGGCTTTGTTCTCGGACGCGACTAGTTCGCGCTCGAGACGCATCGCCCCGCCCCTCATATTTCCTATTGGTCCCTGAGCTGGAAATCCCTATTTATCGCTACTTCAGCGTGTATAAAAATAGGCGATTTTTAGGTCAACCAAGTCAACCCAGGGACTATTAACTGCCGGGGTGCCAGTAGAAAAACCCACTTAATAAAACACCTCCTCCATACCTACCATATTCAAGTATTCACTCTAACTGACACCCTTTTAAAATATACTCCCTCTTTCCCTACTTATAACGTTTTCCATCGAACGAAGGATTTAGTATCTAGAGGTAATGGTATCCTTATTAAAAATCACATCCCATGTACAGAACATATTATCCCACCTAATGCCAATGTCCCTGGCACTGACTTCCTGGCGGTTGTTATACACCTTAAAAATAACGAAACGGTGACGATAATCTCGTATTACAAACACGTCCGAACGCCAATTTCAGATAAGCTTTTTGAGTACTTTTCTTCACTCAATAAGGCCATCCTTCTAGGCGACCTTAATGCTAGACATACCCAATTCGGAGACACTTCAACAAATCGGGATGGTATACACCTGACTGATTTATTAGTAGAACTCCCAATCATCAGAATAGAAAATTCCAGCCCAACTTTTTTGAGTCACGTAGGAATGTCCAACATCGACCATATAATATGTACAGAAAACATAATAGACAGGTTCGATGATAAATGTTTCATAGGTGACTCAATCACGTCAGACCATTTACCACTACTGGTGAACACAAGTCTGACAGACCCAATAAATCCCTTACCGATAAAAAGACGAGATTATCGCAGAGCCAACTGGGACCTTTTCAAAGACACAATAAATAACAACCTTCCCTTGTTAGGCAATATCGAAAACACAGAACATATCGACTTAGCTATAACTCAAGTAGATAGTCTCATAAATGAGGCTATTGAAATAGCAGTCCCCCTAACCACGTACAACTTATATTCTCCGGCACTGCCCGCACATATCGTGGCAAAAATCCACAGACCTCAAATAATGCGATTTATACGTTTTGACATCCGATCAATAAGACGCCAAAGATTTCAGGGAAATAAATTTTGTCTAATTTCAGAGGTTTGGGAGCGTTTATTTTTTATTGTCAATCATGTTTTATTCTTCTTCTTAGAGTGCCTGTCCGTTCCGAACGTTGGCGATCATTCTGGCTATGGCGATTTTGTTGGTTGCTATACGAAATAGCTGTGTTAAGGTCTTTCTATACCACGCTCTTAGGTTAGCAAGCCAGGATATTCTTCTTCGTCCTGGGGCTCTTTTGCCTTCAATTTTACCCTGCAAAATGCATTGGAGTAGCTCGTGTCTGCCTTGATTTCTTATAATATGTCCCAAGTACTCCAGCTTATGGCTCTTCACATATACTTTACAATTGATGAACAACTTTTTCCAACAAAGGCGATGTGCAGATCTACAGAATTCATGGCTAACAAACCCAATAAGTTTGGAATTAAGTTCTGGCTAGCTGTAGATGTAGATTCTCGATATCTCCTCAATGGTTTTCTATATTTAGGAAAACATGATACTCGTCGCTCAAATGGATGACTTTCTGATCATGTAGTGTTGAAGCTGATTGAACCCTAAAAATTTTTTTTACTTCTATCCATCTTGCTCGAGTATGAAATAATACAACAATTGTAGGAACAGTCAATAGAATTTGATTGAAGTGAAATACCAAAAAGCTTCAAAAATAAGAAAAGTGGGCTGTTTTTAACAAAAGCTTTCAAGCACAAAAACTGCGTTGCAATTAGTTACCAAGGTAAAGCAAATACAAACGTTATTTTATTTTCAACACATCACTCGTTAGTAGCAGTCGAATAAGCAGGAAAGAAAAAGTCACAAATTTTAAAATTTTATATTCAAAGTAAATTTGATGTCGATATTGTCGATCAAATGGCAAAGAAGTACACGATAAAAGCAAGTTTAAGACGGTGGCCGTTGCAAGTTTTTTAGAATGTATTGGATTTGGTTGCAATCAATGCCTGGTTTCTTTACAATGCTGTCACGGAAAAGAAAATGTCACAAATTTATCTTGGATCTCGTAGAACAGCGTTTCCCAAAGTTTTTTGATCGATGAACACTATTCAGGCATTTATTTTTTGCAGACTTAAACGACCCCTTATTAATGTGGACTGCATTTCTCAATAAAGTCCACAATATAATTTCCACAAATATTTTGTAATATTTATAAAAACAACCTTAAACCGTGGATAAAACGAATAAACAAATTAATCACAAACGACATCTATGATGGATATTTAAAAACACTGGGCTTTTTAGTGCTTTCCAAAGCCACCGTAGATTTTTAAATAACTTACAATAACTCTAAACATGGAAGACAAAGTTTTGAATTAAATGTTATTGAAAGTGGTAACATTAAAAAAGTCTACAAATACATACGTTCCTTCTTGACGTCTAAAGTTTTCATTATTCTACTTCAAAATCCCAACCAGACTTTATGCTCTTCTTACAAAGAATCTTCCGAAACTCTCTTCAGCGTTTTATCAGGTTTTTACTAAAGAATCGAATGATGGCTATCTACCTGCTATTAACTGGAAATTTACAGTGGATTATGTCAAACAACACTTAGTTAAACTTCGCACAGCCGCTTCATCTGGTTTAGATGGTTTAACACCAAAACTGTTAAAAAGGGCGCAGACACGCTGGCAATACCCTTAACGTTAAGAATGGCTTGCTGCCAGTAGTTGCCAAAATTATGGAAGCCATTATGGAGGAGATGGCCAAATTCCTTCTCCAGGAATATGTTATTCAAACACAACATGGATTTGTCTCTGGTCGCTCTATTCTAACCAATCTCCTACATTGTGTTAACGACTGGACGTCATCCCTTAACAGTTCGCAGCCGGTCGATGTTGTTTATCTAAATTTCCTTTGATCGTGTACCTTTCGGAGTTCGCGGTACTTACTTCGTTGGATAGATGATTTCCTAACAGATCGACATTACAAAGTTAGAGTTGGCGAATCTTTCTCATAGCACCGGTTAGTGGAAAGTAAAGTTCCTCAGGGTTCTCTCCTTGGACCTCTGCTTTTTACGGTTTATACCAGCGATGTACCTTATTATGTCTCAAGTAAAATATCGTTCTACGCTGATGACACAAAAATATATGCCAATCTCATCACAAACCAGCCAACCCTCCAAATGAACATGAACTTTATTTTAACTTGGTGTTCCCTGTGGTTATTACCCTTAAATGCGGAAAAATGTGTAGTGCTTCGAAGTGGTAAGAATAACTCACTTGTACCGTACGTTGTTAACGGGCAGCCAATGTCAATGCAATTATTCTGTAAACTTTACATTTTTTACGTAAGATCCATACTTGAATAAACTGGACCAACGTGGTATCCTTATTTGGTTCGAGACAAGATTGTATTGGAAAACGTTTAAGGGAAAGCCACTCGAATTCCTTGGACCGAGAAGACTTTCTTGCAGAAAGTCTTTGCAGAAAGACTTAGTATGGCTAACCTAACTTAGGTTGAATATAGCCGACAACGTGAAGACTTAATTACATTTAAAATATTAAAACTCAATTTTGGAAATCTCGCTGAAATGTTAACCATAAATCAAAATAAACGCCTCAGAGGTCATCGGTTTAAACTAAAGAAAGAAAACTTTTCTACAAGATCAAAACAGAACTTTTTACCAAATAGAGTTTTTGAGTGCTGGAATAACCTTAATGATAACATTGTCTCTGCTTCCTCTATTAACTCGTTCATAAACAGACTTGATCGTTTTATATATTATAGTTAAAATATTGTTTTCCTTTTAAACCAAAAATTGTAATTTTGTTATTTATTACTAGTTTATTAATAAATTTTTTTTGTTTTGGGCATAATAGAGGCTTGTTCCTCTGCCATTTCTTATGTATAATAATAATAATAATAATATTAATAATATTAAATATAATTTCATTTTCAGGTAGTCGCTAATTGTACGAAGAGACTATTAAAATTCTTTATCCCAAACAACCCACCACTTCTAGATGTCTGCGACAAAATCACACTTGCTGGAACATCTATAGCAAGAATAGCATGTGATACTGTCATAAATAGCTTTCTAGATAGATAAGTACCTAACCCGTCTAAAAAAAGAAATACATTCATTTATCTAGAACATAAAGTCAGCAATCAAACTCATTGTATATTTTGACAATAAATTATTTTAAATTACTTTATTTGTTTATTTCGTTAACTCATCATTCCCCCTCCTCCTCATTCCTAATCCCTTTTGGGATGTGGTGACACCATCAGGCCTTTATATACTCTTAACTTTATACTCTTCATTGTTATCTGATTCTTCTTCTTAAAATGCCCTCTCCTCAATAGAGGTTGGCTACTACAATTTTAAACTCTTCTCTATCTTCAGCTGTTCTTATCAGCTGTTCAAAATTAAGTCCTGTCCATTGTCGGATGTTTCTGAGCCACGATAGGTTTTTCTAACTTTAACTGTGTTAAAAAGTTCTCTTTCCTTGCCTATTCTATGCAGCACTTCTTCGTTTGAGGTTTGCGATGTCCATGAAATTTTGAGTATTCTCCGGTAGATCCACATTTCAAAGGCCTCCAATTTATTTACGGTTGATGTTTTAAGGGTCCACGTTTCAACTGCATATAGAAGAGTCGACCAGACGTAGGATTTTGATAAACGTAGTCGAATTTCGAGTTTTATTCGAGAATTACAAAGCAGTTTTTTTATTTTTTCGAAACATTTTCTGGCCTGTTCTATTCTCGATCTTATTTTTAGATCAGGATTTAGGCTGCCATCGATCCAACATCCCAGGTACTTAAATCTACTGACCTGTTCTGAAATGTGCCCATTTATTGTGCAAGGTTGAGGTACGTTTTGGTTTTTTCGGATTGGCATCACTTTGGTTTTTTTTAATGTTTATTTTTATACCAAATTGCTTACAGGTCGAGTTGGTCTTGTCGATGAGTCGTTGTAGACCTAAGTCGGAATCCGCAATTAACACTGTATCATCGGCGTATCTGATACTGTTGATATTTACGCCATTCACATTGACTCCATCCTTGGAATCCTCCAATGCTTCTTTAGATAGAAACTCGGAGTAAAGATAAAACAGCAGAGGCTACAGAACACATACTTGTTCAACTCCCCTCCTAATTTCTACTTCTGCGGATATGGAACCTTCGATCCTAACTCTGACGTTTTGGTTTTAGTACAAGTTTTTTAAGAATTTGATGTCTTTTCCATCTAAACCGACTTCTTACAAACGTTCTAATAGTAGGTCGTGTCTTACTCTATCAAATGCTTTTTCGAAGTCTACAAAGCATATAAATATATCTTTCTGTTGGTCGTAGCATTTTTGAGCGAGAACTAGTAAAATGAAGTAGTAACCTTGAGGGCTTCTCTCGTTCCCATGCCGGCTCTGAATCCAAACTGATCGTCTCCGATGATTGTTTCGCACGTTCTATAGATACGATTATGTACGATTTTTTGTAGGACTTTTACTGCATGACTCATAAGGCTTATCAGACCGAACTCATATGATGAATATTGACTCCAGCCAATCTTGGGTTATTTTACCTGTATCATAAATGCGATTGAATAAAAGGACAAATATTTCGATATTTTCTTCGCTGATTAATTTTAACGTTTCTGGGTATATTTCGTCTGGACCTGGGCTTTTATTTGTTTTGAGATGATTAATTGCATTTATGATTTCAGATTTCAGAGTTGTTGGTCCTTCGTTGTTATTTTTCAATCTTGGTTCTTCTCGTATGTCATGAAAAAGAATTTTAATATAATTTTCCCATTCTTTCAGTTTATCTTCTGTTGTTTCTAGCAGTTTGCCGTCCGTGTTCAGCATGGTGTGAAAAGTCGTTCTCTTGGTAGTCGATGTAAACTCTTTTACCTTTTTATTTAAATTAAAAAAATCGTGCCGTTGTTGCAGTTCTTCTATTTCAACGCATTTTGTTTCCAGCCATTTCTCTTTTGCTTTGGTTATTTTTTTTTTGAATTATTCTATTTAGTCTTTTGTATTCTCCGTCCTTGTCATTTTTTTACTTTAGATTCTCTTCGTTTGTTCATTAATTGTAAAATCTCTTCTATCATCCATTCCTGTTTGTTATTTCTAGGTGTTACTTTTAGATGTTTTTCCGTTACATTGTTCATTTGTTCTTTAATAGTTTTCCACAGAACGTTTATGTCATCGTACTCGCTAATTCTGTTGTGGTCGATATTTCCTAAATTTTTGTTTAATTTTTTATTTACTTTCTGATGTATGGTGTCGTTTTTTAATAATTGGATGTCTAGTAGTTGGTGTTGAGGTTTTTGTTTCGTTATTAGTTTCCATCTTGCGCGAACTTTTGCAATAACAGGATTATGATCGGAATTGATGTCAGTTCCAGGATATGTTTTTGCACTTATTGCTCATTAGTTTAGGCGGGATCTGTTTTGGATTGGACATTTTCCAAAGGAAGCTATTTTTTGCTGGAATCCCTTTAGGATGTGCCCAATATTGATAATCACGATATGCGCCAGTCGCAAACCTTGTGCTAAATTTTTTATTTAACAAAATCTGAAAACAATTGAAAATTTCTCATTTTTTGATCCTATTTTCGTTTATAATTCGAAAAATATTGATTCTAAAGAAAAAATTTCTGATCCTGAATAGTATACTCTGTAGTCTTCTATATCACAATAACTTGAACGGGAGGTGGTGAATCAACGGAAATGATCCAGATTCTACGGGGCGTTAGACAAGGTTGTATACTTTCACCTATATTATTTAATCTATATTCAGAGGAAATATTTAGTGAAGCCTTGGAAAAATGCGAAAATGGAATACTTCTAAATGGAGAACGCCTAAACAACATCCGTTATGCAGACGACACCGTTATTTTTGCAGACAGTTTGAACAGTTTACAGCAACTAATAAACAAAGTAAATGAAGTAAGTGAAAGATTTGGACTTCAAGTAAATATAACAAAAACTAAATTTATGATCATCAGCAAAAATAAAGTTAGAGACGCTCAACTACTTATCAATAATACACCAGTGGACCGAGTAAAACAGTATAACTATCTTGGAACAACAGTAAATGAACAATGGGATCACTCACAGGAAATAAAATGTAGAATAGAGAAGGCTAGGAGTGCATTCAATAACATGGCCAAACTCTTTAAAAGCCACAATCTTAATCTGGAGATAAAAGTAAGGCTCCTACGATGTTATATCTTCTCAATATTGTATTACGGAGTTGAATCCTGGACAATAACTGAAGCAATGGAGAAAAACTTGAAGCCTTCGAGATGTGGCTATACAGGCGAATTCTAAGGATATCATGGACAGACAAGATAACCAACGAGACCGTATTACGAAGAGTGGGCAAAGAAAGAGAGGTGATGTATACCATTAAAAGGAGAAAGTTGGAATATCTCGGACATATTATAATGAGAAACAGCACTAAATACAGATTACTGAAGGTAATGCTACAGGGTAAAGTATTCGGAAAGCGAGGAATTGGGAGAAGGAGAATATCATGGTTGAAGAACCTGAGGAAATGGTTCTCCACAACAACAACGAATTTATTTAAAGCAGCAGTCAATAAAATAATTATAGTCAGAATGATTGCCAATATTCGGAACGAATAGGCACTGAAAGAAGAAGAAAGAAAAAATTATAAGAAATTAAAAGTTTCATTATTTGATTTTGCACAATATTTCGTTAGCTAAAAATTGAAAATTTAATGTTTATTGTTGAAAAAATAGCAATAATTGGAAAAAAGTACAAAAAAATGAAGTTATTCCTTTAAATGTTTTCGACTTTCCAAACTTTACTTACCAGCTCCATATTCCGCCTAGAATAACTTTTTAATATTTTTAAAACGTGTGCTAAATTTTGTTAAGATCGGTCGGATAGGTTTTGTATAATAATTTTGCAATCCAGCTTACTGGAAAAAAATCGCAAATTTTAAAATTTATAGTAGGCCCTAAATAAGCCCCTTAAATAGTTGCAGTTTTTTTTACATATAAAGGAAGGCTGAAACTTTCAAACGCTTTTTGTAAAATTCCAATCGGTTCACCAGGAGAGCCTAGAAATTTTTTTAAAGTTTTAAACATTTTTTTAGGCTTATAGACAAATTAAATAACTTTAGCTTTAAACAAATCAATTTTAAAATTTGCACTTTACACTTAAAGAACAATAAAAGACGCTTCTTTAAAAAAAAGATACATTCGGCTTACTGGTTGCCGAGATATTGAAGGTCAAAGTTGGTATACATTTACTGTGTAACCATAAGCGTAGAGAGCTCGTTTTTAAACAAATACCCTCGTCTTGTCAAGTACTTTTTATGTAAATAATAAATAATCTAAATTGTTAAAACAAAGGCGAACGAAATAATTTTTTTTTTCATAAATAAACTTTCTTTTGACTCAATCTTCAATAATTTTTTTTTACGCTATTTTCTTTTTTTTTTTAAAGGACAAGAATCTTCAGGTCCTATTTCTTCCTCAAAACCTTCATTTTCCATTTCAATATCTTCATCCTAGATCTGTAAATTTAATGTCTCTTCTCCTTCATCTGTAGCTTTATCTTGTGTCTCTAGAAAATCTAAGGAATCTATCGACTCCATATCCATATCTCGTTTAACTTCTTCCAATATTTTACTGTGTTCAATATTTTTAGATGTCTGACCATTGCAGTGAAGATAATAGTCAGAACATTTAAGACCTTGTTTGATAGAACTGCGTGTTTGTGTACAAAGTTTTTTACATTTGCAACTAATATTTCTGAATAATGAGTCAGGTAATAATACCTGCTCAGTTTGTATTGGCTCAAGACTATTTTGATTTAGTTCCCACCCCCACTCAGTAACATTCAGTTTTTTTTCCAAGCCACTGCTGTACTTGTAAATATACACGAAGCGAGTGTTGCTCAGCTGCAGATTGTGTTGGTGGCAGCATGGACAATTGAAAGTTTTTATTTTTGCAACCTTTTTTAGAGCACAAGTTTATTAGTAGCGAATTTTATTCAATGTAAAATAGCACTTTGAGTGGCCCATATACAATGCCGATATAATTTTGCATCCGTTGCGTTTAATTTCTTTCTTAGTGACACTTTTTTTATTAGAAATAGTTGCTTCTTGCGATATATCATTATTTGTTGAAAACAATTTAACACTTTTGCTTTTTCCTTGATAAATGCAGAGATC